CGTGTGTGTGTATATATATATATATATATATATATATATATATATATATATATATATATATATATTTAAAACGCAGGAAAGTATTCTTTATGGTTTCTTTTACATCAACAGATCATCAGGAGAAGACGTTGGTGAAAAAATGGAACTGCAGTGAAAAAAAAATGTACCCCGACTAAAAAAAAATTTATTAATCAAAACGAGAAGGGGGAGATAAGAAAAATATACTGACAAAAGTTGCAAAGTAAACTGTTTGTTGTGAATAAAAATTAGAAGAAAAAATATCACTTATATACATTCTAAAAGGCCAAGAGAACAAACTGAGACGGTTGATGTAAATTATTAAAACCCGTTTCTAACGTGAGTAAATGCTGAGCAGGCCGAGATCTGCACATGACAGTAAACAAATCGTCACTATCTTGCTACATACTCCGGATTGTCTAGCAAATGCTGACCAATGGTTGAGTTGTAAACATGCTTTTCTTATATATAAAAACTGTGGTGTCAAACATATATATATATATATATATATATAGAGAGAGAGAGAGAGATAGAGAGAGAGATAATAATAGTAGTGGTAAATATACATACATATGCAAAATATATAAATACCCATACATGTATATTTTTAGAATAAAAATTCCAAGAGGAAGAATCCAGGTAGAACTCAATGTCCAGGACAGAGTAAGGATATAATAAAAAAGGCTTAAACACTAATATTCCATGGTCATAATTTATTCCATTGGAATCGTAAATACGATCCAATTCAGCAGACCTACAAATTGAAAAAGAATTTTGAAATTGGAGGTCTACGATTCCAATGGAACAATCGTTTTAAGCGATTCCATATGGAATAATATATATATATATATATATATATATATATATATTATATATATATATATATATATATATATATATATATATATATATATATATATATATATATATATATATATTTATATATATATTATATGCTGAGAATATACTCCAGGTAGAGCTCAATCTTCAGAAAAGAGCAAGAATATAATATAAAAGGCTGAACCACTAATATTCCATGGTTATAAATTATTAGATTAGAATCATAATTACGATCCAATTCATCAGACCTACAAATACAAAAAAACTATATATATATATATATATATATATATATATATATATATATATATATATATATAATGCCAGTGTTTCCTAAACTTTCTTTCTTTAGATCTCATTTTCGGAGTCAAAATTTGTTCCCACCTCAAATCTTATGGAATATAAAGTACATGGGCGAAAAAACAAAAACAGAGAGACGATAATTGCAGATTTGATATCAGAATATTATCATTGTCAACGCTTTCCTCCCATGTGCGGACTCTAGTTATTATATTCTTAATACATGATATAATGCAAAAATATCACAATGATAAAATCGATCAATATTTATAACTATTTCTACTGGGATTTATGCCTTGCAGTTACAAGTAATCCATAATATTTTCAAATCATTTATTTTGGAATATGAAATTCTTGAAACTATCTGAATCCTTGATTTGCTGTCATTCCCTCACCTTCATTACTCTTCCACCGAAACCTTTGGGAACCACTGAATATATATATATATATATATATATATATATATATATATATATATATATATAAGTGAACACTGAAGTCAACACTTAGAGGCGACTGTCATGCTAGACGCAATCGTCAGGCCACGAATGATTTTTTTTTCTCGGTTATGACCATTGCGTCTCGCATGAAACAGCCTGTCGCCTCTAAGTGTTGACTTCAATGTTCACTTTATATTTACACACGCTCTATCTCTGATATTGTGCACTTTATTTCATAAATATAGCCCACTTTAAGACTAAACTTCTTTATATATATATATATATATATATATATATATATATATATATATATATATTATAATATTTTATATTATATATTATATAAATCGTTAGACAATTACAATTATGTTTCAACAGCATGTCTCTTCAAGCGATGTTAAACTACTGGCGTTTTAATTTAAAAAAAAAAAAAAACATGATACATAAATGTGACTTACGCTAAATTCAAATTCACCGGAAAAAAAGAAATTAATATAGTACATGACACGAAGTTGTCTGCATATTAAAAACAACCTAGACAATGTCCTTATGGGTAGATACAGATTGTTACATTTGTAAGATGATTATTTACCGGCTGCCCCACGCAGCAAGATGTGGCACAAGGACGAGTTTAAAGTGGGGAAGCCGAGCCCGTAGGCTCGAGCAAAAATTCCCTATAAACCACGTAAAAAAACGGAGTCAGCTTCCCGAGACGAGACTCTTCCCAAAGGACATAACCTCATCTGCAGAGTACCCACTGACATTTCGTAAGATGTATCGGAACCAGACGCTAAAATTTACCAAGAATCAAAAAGTAAAAGAGACGTGGAGGTAATTTAATCAAATTTTAGCCGGTAATATGCTCGTTCAGCTTCTTACATTAAACTTTGCAGTTGATAAATACAAAACTCTTTTAATAAATTGGCAAACGACTTAACCGTTCGACAAAAACGGATTAGTGGTGTTTTTCTATATATATATATTTGGTTGGATTGATGTGAGTTTCTGACCCTGGGTTTCACGCTTTTGCAATCGTCAGACAATATATATATATATATATATATTTATTTATATACACACACTTTTATATATATATATATATATATATATATATATAAAAAGTGAACATAGAAATCAACACTTAGGGCGACAGTCTGTTTCATATATATATGCAATCGTCAGGCCACCTGGACTTATGCTGACGATTCTATCTCTGATACTGAGCACTTTATCCCCAGAAATATAGCACACTTTAAGACTATATTTATTTATATATATATATATATATATATATATATATATATATATATATATATATATATATATATATATATATATATATAGAGAGAGAGAGAGAACGCACCACGGAATATGTGAGCGAGCGGCGCTATGTTGAGTCTGATTTGGTAATCTCTTCGTTACCAAGGCCCATTGGAACAGCTGGTATGATGTTTGCTGGACAACCCTAACTGTCAGGGTTTCAATTCTTGGTAGTGGATGCGCACTGCTGATGAGTCTCAAACATAGGACAAGAAACGGCCGTCCAGTGCATTCTGTTGAGGTTTCTATTAGACTCGATGAATTAATTAAATATATATATATATATATATATATATATATGGAAATAATTAATATTATCTAATGTTACAGAATGCAAAGGCCAGAGCCAGAATCATCAGTGATTGGCCGGACAGATTCAGGAACGGGACAGTTTGACTGTGATGGATTGCCATTGTCTAGGTATTGAATATAAATCCAAAATGGCGCTAATTCAACAGAGGTCTGTAGAATTCTGACCCATCGATATGCCTCCCATACCCAGGTTTCCGACTCAGTTCTACTACTGTCTTTTAAAATCATGACTGCCACAGTTAATAAAACGAATACCAAAACTAAATCACCCTTGTCATTGATACTGTTTTATGCAATAACATGTGGATTCATATACAACACAGAATGTAACACTAAAAACAAACACCCTTAAAAATGGCTAAAGAAGTGGCCGAAATTGATTGAAACAATGTACAATCTTTGTATTTTTTTACTCCCAGCAAACGGAAAATTTTTTGAAAAAACTATATCATGAAACAGAGATATGTTGAAATTACTATCAAAAAGTAAAATACGGTGTAGGTCCTTTTAAACAGCCAGCTATTCGATATTTCCTTATAAAAATGGGATTGTTGATAAATGTAGGCAATAAAAAGGAGGTGGAACGTTTTAAAATATTACTTATGTGCCACGTCATTACGAAAAAGTCCAAAAAATCTCTAGAACGACAGTCGGTCAAATGTAATACGAGGTGGAAATTAGAGAAAATGTTATTTACAAAAATATGGTTGTTGTTTAGAAATACAAAAGAAGTCCAACAATCTTAGAACGAAAGGACGACCGTAAAATACTTAAAAATGTCAAGCAGTCGTTTGAGAAAGCTTTAGCATGAAAAGGATTATTATTGTAATCTTGGCCTATCACTGAATTCGAAATCTCCTGGGTATGTGTCAGTGACATATTTGTCCGATTCGTAATCCAAAAATAGGTCATGTTGCTTAATTATACATGCCAATCTCCGCGAAGAGCATCCAATGTGATCAGATGACAAGTAAATATATATATATATATATATATATATATATATATATATATATATATATATATATATATATATATATAAAATGAATAAAAAATAAACACCAGACACAAATTCACTACCGGAAGGTTTTTGTTTGTTTAGGGGGCTTATCAAAAACCTTATGGTTAGTTTAATGTCGAAATTACATTTTTTCTTGGGAGCATTATTAATTTTTCTTACGAATATGAATTGCTTGTATATATTTCCTATGAAATAGTATTACTGGTATTTTTAGTATACCGTCCTGGGTATGATGATAAACTACATCCGCGTCCTGGGTAAAACGATAAACTACGTCCGCGTCCTGGGTAAGACGATAAACTACATCCGACAGCAAGGCCCCTGATCAGGAGGTTTTGTGGAGCTTGAAACCATCTCTTAATTGCTGGTGTTCCCAGGTCCACCCTGAACCAGCGTGGTAGCACCTGTTAGGATCCCAGCTATGGGCAAATAGTTAACCCTCAAACTGGTGTCAAAACACTATGAAAGTGTAAAAATAGGTTTTAATACAAGGAATACTTTGTAAAATCTATTACCAGCAACACATTTTTGAAAAAAAGATATTACCAGTTATACTTTTGAAAAAAGAAATTACAGTTGATACACTTTTGAAGAAAAAATATTACCAGAAATAGATCTTTGAAGGAAAAAATTTTACAAGCAGTAAATTTGAAAAAAAATATGTTAACAGCAATAAAAATCTTGTCGGCATTAAATAACCCATTGAGGTTGATATGCCGTAAAACAAAACAAACCAAACCAATATATACTTAGATAGATAGATAGATAGATAGATAGATAGAAAATATAACCAGCAATAAAAATCTTGTCGGCATTAAAGAACCCATTGAGGCGTTGATATGCCGTAAGACAAACCAAACCAAACCATTTTTTTTACTATAAAAATATACTTTATACTTTCATAATGTTTTGACCTCAGTTTGGAGGTTAACTATTTGCACATAGTTGGTTCCCTAACAGGTGCCAACACCCCGGGTAAGGGCGGATCTGGGAACATGAGGCGGTTCGACGCTGAAAACCACCCGATAAAAGGCATTGCTGCCGGCTGTAATTTAGTTATACCCAGGACTCACTACTGGTGAGAAATGAAATTAAGCTGTTTTTTGTTGTTGTTGTTGTTGTTGTTGTTGTTTTTAATCAAATCACCCCAGACAAGGCGGAAATGCCTCTAGTAAGCAATGGGTTGCAGTGAGTGAAAGTGAAAGAAAATACTGAGCATGGCAAAATTGAGGAAAGAATAAAAAAGGAACGTGTTTCAAGACAAAAGCAGATGGCGATTGACGTTGCATTTAAATTTTTCAAGATTATAGTTATCAGGTAAGCAAGGAAACGAAAGTGAGTTCCACAGGCGGGAAGTGCGAGAAAAGAAACTGTTGTTGAAGAACTGGCGGTTGCATTTAGCTATCTCAACAGTAAAAGGATGGGACCTAGATGCCAATTTAGCAAAATGCAGAAATTCCTGTAATTGGACCACAAGGAAATAAAGCTCGTCAGAGCAGTTGTAGTGAAAATATTTGTAGAAACAGAAAGAGAACGAGTGATAGAAAATAAATAGAAAGTGAGGAGAGAAAATTAAGAAAGCGAGAAAGACTGAGAGTGAGAGAGAGAGAGAGAAGAGGCTGAGTATAGGGAGGACTGAGGAAAGGACAAAAGATGGGATTCAAGAAGATAGACGACAGCGATTGATATTGAATTAAAATATTTTGCTGATTGTAGTTATCAGGGAAACAAGTAAATGGAAGGGAGTTCCACAGGTGGGAAGTGCGAGAAAAGAAACTGTTAGAGTAGAAGTGGTGCTTGCATTTAACTATTTCAACAGTAAAAGAATGGGACAGATGCCAATGTAATAGGCCGCTTAAATTCATGTAGACGGGGCACCAAGAAAAAAATAGTTCATCAGAGCAGCTGTCATGAAAATATTTGTAGAAAAGGCAGAGGGAAGCCACTTCATGTCTGTGAAAAAAATGACTGAAATCGAGATACCAAGTCAGTAGCGAGTACATTCCAGATCCTTCTTTGGATTTTGTTAAGAACCTCGAGATGAATAGCAGGGGCACTAAACTCGATATAACAACATTATTCAATCCATGAACAAATGTTAGATTTGTAAACGCGTAAGGTGGACTGACGAGAAAAACCGTATTGGACGACACAAAATACCAAACTTTCCTTGCAGTAGATGCAGCTATTTATTTAATGTAGTTGTTCCACTTCAAGTCAGTTGAAAACGTGAGTCGCAATGAAACTGTCTGCTGGTGTCGAGTATCTGCCATGTTGATGGCGGGCAGAGAAGGTTCTCTATGTTTATTAAATGAGAGCTGTCTCGTTTTGGTGGCATTAAAATTTACAAGTCATTTTCTTTCCCAATTAACTACAGCTTGGAGGTCTTTTTCAAGAGAAGTGCCCAGTTTAACTATGTCAGCTCTGACGGATTTGCTATTAAGACAGAGGTAAATACTAGCGTCGTCTGTATAAATACCTTCTCCGGATCTAATGAAGATCAGAAACAGCGTAGGACCCAGGATATACCTATGGGGGACACCCGCGTACGTGTGAAAGGATCTGGAAGCAAACCCGTTCAGAACGATCTTAATTTCATGATTTGATAGGGATGATTAGATTAAATCAAATAATCGTCCTGTGATACCGTAATCCTGAATCTTACGTCGAAGACCATCGTGACAAACCCTGCCAATATCTAGGCCACTACTCGAGCTTCGCCGTTATATCAAGAGTTTTATATATATATTCAGTGATGACCGTAAGCACGTCAGCGGTCAGACTGGCAAAACGGAATCCATATTGTCTATCGTGAGATGTAAGATGCTTAACCACTTCAGCATTGATTAAAGTCTCGAATACTTTGCCGAAGGTTTTCCAGAGTTCTTGAAGACAGGAACTACAGAGGAGGATTTCAGCAAGCTGAAAAGCTGGAAGCAGCAATAGTTGTAGAGTTTGCAGAGAAATGGAGCCAGCTCGGGAGCATATTTCGTTAAGGCAACGGCTGGGATCCCGTCACCTAATCTAATTCACAAATTATCTCCGAAGCCAGTTACGGGGTTATGTGCATATCACTCAGTACAGCCTCAATTCTAAGGAAAAATTAGATGTGGGCACTTCAAACTAGTCGAGTTTTGAGTTGGAAGAGAATTTCCGAGGAAAAGCATTCAACCTTATTTGCTGTAGATGTCAGGGCTTCAAATTCATTAAATGGAGGAGGGATTGAGGATTTGCTGTTATTCAGCACAATCTTAAAGAACCGCCCATAATCTCTAGCAAGTGGTTTGGAAAAACTAAGCGGAAAACAGAGCAATGTTAGATTTTTTATCATTTTGCAACCACATCTAACGGGTGGCCATTAATTGCAAGAACAAAATTGATGAAATTCGATTCGAAAAAAAACTTACAGGAAAAACTGATAATTAAGGCGATATAGAGTAAGATATGATAAGGTTCATTTTTCTTTTGTGTAGGAATAAGTGACACACAATTTAAGTATTGTCAGTTAAGAAAAAAAAGGAAAGAATTCCGGTGGATATTTGTAGCAGACCAGGGATGAACATTGCAACCGAAACGTCCAGGAGGGGGAGAGAACCATCAAACTCACTTTCCATAGCTTAAGAGAAGAAAGTATTAAATCAATGAAGAAAGTTATAAAACTTATAAGTCTTCGAATACATCATAAAACACAGCAAAGTCATCGTCAAAGGTCTGTGAGAAAAGGTTTGAAAGACTGAAATTAACGCTGTTAATGAAAACCCGCAAATATATAATTCATCTATGCTCTCGGAAATAGAGGTGGGGTACTCATAGACAGAATATTCTCAATATACAAGTATATATCAAAATGCGACGATAGAAAAATAGCAAATATTTTTCATTGAAGAGATTGTTTCTTTTTTGGTCACAAGAATGCCTAGAAATTACATAGAAACTGTAAAACGAAGTACAAAGTTACGCGGAAAATGTGGATCAGAGTTCAAGGTTACCCGGAAACTTTGCAGCAGAGTTCAAAGTTAAGCGGAAAATGTGGAGCAGAGTTCAAAGTTACGCGGAAAATGTGGAGCAGAGTTCAAAGTTAAGCGGAAAATGTGGAGCAGAGTTCAAAGTTAAAATGCGGAAAAAAATGTGGAGCAGAGTTCAAAGTTAAGCGGAAAATGTGGAGCAGAGTTCAAAGTTACGCGGAAAATGTGGAGCAGAGTTCAAAGTTAAGCGGAAAATGTGGAAAAATGCAGAGTTCAAAACTACGCGGAAAATGTGGAGCAGAGTTCAAAAAATGTTAAGCGGAAAATGTGGAGCAGAGTTCAAAGTTAAGCGGAAAATGTGGAGCAGAGTTCAAAAATGTTACAGTTAAGCGGAAAATGTGGAGCAGAGTTCAAAGTTACGCGGAAAATGTGGAGCAGAGTTCAAAGTTAAGCAGGAAAATGTGGAGCAGAGTTCAAAGTTAAGCGGAAAATGTGGGATAGAGTTCAAAGTTCAAAAGTTCAAAAGTTGGAAAATGTGGAGCAGAGTTCAAAGTTTACGCGGAAAATGTGGAGCAGAGTTCAAAGTTAAGCGGAAAATGTGGAGCAGAGTTCAAAATGTGGAGCAGAGTTCAAAGTTAAGCGGAAAAATGTGGAGCAGAGTTCAAAGTAAGCGGAAAATGTGGAGCAGAGTTCAAAAGGAAAATGTGGAGCAGAGTTCAAAGTTAAGCAAGTTACGCGGAAAATGTGGAGCAGAGTTCAAAGTTAAGCGGAAAATGTGGAGCAGAGTTCAAAGTTACGAAAAAAATGTGGAAATGATGAGTTCAAAGTTATGGAAAATGTGGAGCAGAGTTCAAAGTTAAGCAAAAATGTGGGAGTAAAAATGTGGAGCACGTTCAAAGTTAAAAAATGGGAGGAGTTCAAAGAAAAATGTGGAGCAGAGTTCAAAGTTACGCGGAAAATGTGGAGCAGAGTTCAAAGTTACGCAGAGTTCAAAATGTGGAGCAGAGTTCAAAGTTTCAAAGCGGAAAATGTGGAGCAGAGTTCAAAGGAAAATGTGGAGCAGAGTTCAAAGTTACAGAGTTCAAAGAAAAAATGTGGAGCAGAGTTCAAAAGTTACGCGGAAAATGTGGAGCAGAGTTCAAAGTTAAGTTCGGGAAAATGTGGAAGTTCAAAGTTAAGCGGAAAATGGAGCAGAGTTCAAAGTTAAGCGGAAAATGTGGAGCAGAGTTCAAAGTTAGAGCAGAGTTCAAAGTTAAGGGAAAATGGAGCAGAGTTCAAAAAAGTTAAGCGGAAAATGTGGAGCAGAGTTCAAAGTTACGCGGAAAATGTGGAGCAGAGTTCAAAGCTTACGCGGAAAATGTGGAGCAGAGTTCAAAGTTACGTTAAGCGGAAAATGTGGAGCAGAGTTCAAAGTTACGCGGAAAATGTGGAGCAGAGTTCAAAGTTAAAATGTGGAAAATGTGGAGCAGAGTTCAAAAAAAATTACGTTCAGTTACGAAAAATGTGGAGCAGAGTTCAATGTGGAAAATGTGAAGTTCAAAGTTACGCGGAAAATGTGGGAGCAGAAATTGTGGAGCAGAGTTCAAAGTTAAGGGAAAATGTGGAGCAGAGTTCAAAGTTAAGCGGAAAATGTGGAGCAGAGTTCAAAGTTACGCGGAAAATGTGGAGCAGAGTTCAAGTTACGGGAAAATGTGGAGCAGAGTTCAAAGTTAAGCGGAAAATGTGGAGCAGAGTTCAAAGTTAAAGCGGAAAATGTGAGCAGAGTTCAAAGTTAAGTTGTGGAGCAAGTTCAAAGTTACGCGGAAAATGTGGAGCAGAGTTCAAAGTTAAGTTGTGGGAGCAGAGTTCAAAGCGGAAAATGTGGAGCAGAGTTCAAAGTTACGCGGAAAATGTGGAGCAGAGTTCAAAGGAAAATGTGGGAGCAGAGTTCAAAGTTAAGCGGAAATGAAAATGTGGGAAAATGCAGAGTTCAAAAATTAAGCGGAAAATGTGGAGCAGAGTTCAAAGTTACGCGGAAAAATGTGGAGCAGAGTTCAAAGTTAAGCGGAAAATGTGGAGCAGAGTTCAAAGTTAAGCGGAAAAATGTGGAGCAGAGTTCAAAAATGTTACAAGTTAAGGAGAAAATGTGGAGCAGAGTTCAAAGTTCAAAAATGTGTTAAAGCGGAAAATGTGGAGCAGAGTTCAAAGTTACGCGGAAAAATGTGGAGCAGAGTTCAAAGTTAAGCGGAAAATGTGGAGCAGAGTTCAAAGTTACGCAGAGTTCAAAAAGGGAAAATGTGGAGCAGAGTTCAAAGTTCAAAATGTGGAGCAGAGTTCAAAGTTACATGGAAAATGTGGAGCAGAGTTACGCGGAAAATGTGGAGCAAAGAGGAAAATTCAGAGTTCAAAGTTAAGCGGAAAATGTGGAAGAATGTGGAGCAAAGAGTTCAAAGTTACGCGGAAAATGTGGAGCAGAGTTCAAAGTTAAGCGGAAAAATGTGGAGCAGTTCAGTTCAAAGTTAGGAAAATTAAGCGGAAAAATGTGGCAGAGTTCAAAGAGTGGAAAATGAGGAGAGTTCAAAGTTAAGCGAAAATGTGGAGAGTTCAAAGTTACATGGAGTTAAAGTTAAGCGGAAAATGTGGAGCAGAGTTCAAAGAGATTAAGCGAAGAAAAT